AATTGAGTTATCAGTCTTTTTTTTTTTGAAACCCTGTAGTAATACTCAGTAGACTCTTATATAAGACCCTTGTGTAAGATCTTTGTTGAGTACAACATGGGACCAAACTTAGAAGGCCTAGTCTGTGGTATAAATGGCTGAAAAATACAACCAGAATTGCACAACTAGGAGAGGATAAAATTGATCAATGGGACATCCTAAAGATTAAGTCCCTGTGTTTTACAATAGAAAACCTATTGAGCAGGGGTGGGGGGTGGGGAAACATTCAATATTTCTTTGGTGGTTTTTTTTTGACAGTCCATTTTGTATATGACATTATTCACCAAACCACAATTCAAAGATGTCAGTTCCTTTTTGATAGAAAACGTTGTGTAACTTCCACAAGCACATAAGGAGGAAGTAATGAAATGAGCCTGGCTTGGATCATTGGCACCCTTGCTCTTCAGTACATAAAAATGGTCCCTAGTAGCAGATCCGTGTAACGTAATACGCTATTTTCTTTCTTGTCTTCTGCTTCTCAGCATATTGATTGTATGGTCAAGGAAAATTAAATCATTGGAAACTTCAGTCTCTTGCTCTATCTGGCTGTTGCTAATTGAGGTTATTGTTTTCTCTGTGTCGAGATGTAAGCTACACTGAAGACTGTTAGTTTGGGTCTTAAATTAATAATTCTTTATTATTTCAGCAAATAGGATTATTTAATCTACATATCACAGGTTAATGAGTCTTCCTCCAATCCTGAACCACTTCTTGTTCTTCTTCATATAGTCCAGCTTCTTGGATTATTTACTCCGCATGTTGTTGTTGTTGTGTATCAACGAGTCAGATCCAACCCATAGCTGACCCTCCAGCAGGTTTTCAGAGACAGTTAATCATATGGGAAGAGATGGTCCATCCTTCTTATGTGGAGTAGCTGGTGAATTCAAACCAAGTGTTTTCAGGATTGCAGTGCTGCTTCTTGTCTCTAGACCACCAGAGCCATGATGAAAAGCTGCAGCTCTGGTGAATAGCAAAGGCTTTCCTGGTCTCTGTTCTTCACAGGAGTACACCACATCTTTTTCACAGAAGGCTACTGGGTGTGAGCTCCTCGCTTTAAGAAGAACAGTAGCGCACTTATCCACTGAGCTACCGAGACTCCCTGAGGAAGAGATAATGTTTCAAAATGGGTAAAATACTCAGGTTTCACTCGGAAGCTTAGTAGTCTTCGGTCTTTTAATAAAGATGTTCCATTATGAGTTAAATGGCACAAAATGGGTAAAATACAGTGAAATAAGAACATAGGTATTGGAAAGAGAACGCCTTTGACTATAGATAGAACTAACCCACTAAATCCCTGTAGATGGGGCCAATTCTGACAAATAGCAATATTATGGGATAGAGTAGAATTCACTGTAGAGTTCCCAAGACCTCCAAAATATGCCGTCCATATGCCTTTGTTGTTATGTACCATTGAGTCAGAACCAGCTTATGTCTGACCCTTCAGCGGGTTTTCACAGAGGCAATAAATCTCATGGGAGGAGAATGTCCATCTTCCCAAAGAGCAGCTGGTGAGTTTCAACGACATGCCTTCATGTTGGCAGAACACCACCGTTTCCATAGTACACAATTTTTTAATTTATAAATTTTATTAATTTTAATGAACATTTACAGAGATTTTGGATTTCCATTCATTCATTGTTGCATTTTTCTCCCTGTCCAGTCCTCCCCCACAGTTTGCTCTTCTCTTTGCAAAGCAAAAGAAACATTCCTTCATTGGTATACAATCCCCCACTGCCCACCCCAAGTACACTCCACTACGCAACCTTCACCATTTTCAAAATGTGCCATTTAAACATTTCAAAAAAAATTGTCTTTAGAATATTGCTTACCTAATACAAATGTAAAACTATACTAACAAATATGATCAAATCAGGTATAATATATGCTAAATTTGAAATCAACGTGTTATACACATTTTAAATATGTCTATGAAAAAATTTTGAAATCTATTGAAAAATGGATGTGCTGAATATATGCATCAATATTCTAGAGACATAAAGATCTCTGTTATATAAAATTAATATATATGCACAAAAGACTTAAGGAAAACACAGCAATCTGAGTGGCCTATAGGTGATTTTCATTCTCTTCAAGAGTTTCCAAATTATATTTTAAATGTGATCTTCTTTTTTGATGCAAACAATAATAACTTCTGCTTTGGAGATGGAGAGAATTCAAACTTAGGTTGTAAATAATAAAGATTTACCTTTCGTATGAGAGAAAAAACCTGAACCTTGGAGGAATTGCTATATGGGGGTATGCGGGGGAGGTTAGAAAGTAAAGTCATTAATGAGAATGGCCAAGTAGTGTCACATCTACTGCATTGGGCTCATGTGTGTCAGGCCGTATGAGGATGGCACAGGATAAAACGGGCTTCAGATCTTTAGTTCATAGGGTAGCTATGAGTAGTACTAGATTTGAGAGAACCTAACAACATCAATGTCACATCCCAGCAGAATGAGGCTTGACCACAGCAGCCAGTGCTGCAGTGAGTGCTAAGACAGTGAAGGATGATGGAACCCATGTATATGGAGATGAAGAGGGCAGAGAGTAAACTCTGAGACTCTTCACAAAACTTGAAAACAGAAAATATAAAGTGTAGACAATCTAACTTAGCCTTTTGCTTCTGTTTATTTATAATAAATATTTATTAGATTTATTAAAGAGTAATAATCTTAAAAATTGGAAAACTCTTGCTGTCATTGAATGAGAATTGACACATAAGTGACCCTCCACTGAGCCTCCAAAATGGTAAGTTGTAACAGAGGAGATTGCCCTTATTTCTCTCATGGAGCCACTGGTGGATTCAAACCTACAGAATGTTGTGGTCTGTGGGTTAGCAGTGCAGCCTCCTCCTGACTGTATACCTTCAGAGCTCTCCCAGCATGTTGTTGTTGTTGTCATTGTTATGTACCGTTGGCTCACCTGCAACTCATAGCAACCCTGTGTGCAACAGCCCTAAACCCTGCTTTATCCTGTGTCAATCTTATTGTCTCTGACACACCTACCCCATTACCCCAGTTACTGAGTCAATCCATCTCCTCGAGGGTCTTCCTCTCCTGCACTGTCCCTCCACCCTCCCAAGAATGTCATCCCTCTCTAAGGACTAGTCCCACCTTTCATCATGCCCAAAGTATGTCAGATGAAGCTTCAGAATCCTTGCCTCCAAGGAGCAGCCTGGTCTCACCCTCTCCAGGATGAACTTGTTTGATTTCCTAGCAGTCCATGGTATATTCAACAGTCTTCTACAGCACCACAGCTCAAAGGCACCAACTCTCCTTCTGTCACCCTAGTCATTGTCCAGCTTTCTGATGCATAGCATGTAATTTCAAAGACCATCACCTGTATCAGGCATACCTTACTCTCCAGACTTACATCGCTGCTCTTCAGTACTTTGGAGAGGTCCCTGACAGCAGACTTTCCCAGTGTAATTCATCTTTTAATTTCTTGGCTGCTGGTACTAAAAGTGTTGATTGTGGAGCCAAGCAAACTAAAGCTGTTAAGAATCTCAATCTCTTCACCAGATGATAAAATCCATTATTCCATTATATATTATTTTGGTGTCTTAATGCTTAGAAGCTTTGCTGATCAACCCCCATGGCAGTCCCGTTTTATGAAAAGAGGGCATAAATAATGAACACTGCATTGGGACAGATGAGGGAAAGAACTGTTTTAAAGGAATATATGATTAGGCATTATTTGTATGACAACAGTACAGAATAAAAGGTGCAAAGTAGGCTGGGAGAGGGGTGCAAGGGGAGGGAGGAAATTACACAGCAATGAATGAATATTTAAGGGGGAAAAAAGCAAACTAGGGGGTAGCAGAAAAAAATGAATGAAAAATTCAACTTTTATGTAACTTTCATTAAAATGACAGTTTAAAAAAAAATAAAATAATAATAAAAAAGCTATACTGCAATCCCAGTGTACATGGTTCGAATCCACCTGCTGTTCCTAGGGAGAGTCTCTGGGGAGAAGGATGGTCACTCTCTTTCTTTGCAATTTACTGACTCTGAAAACCTGTTGGAGGGTCAACTATGAGTCAATTCCAACTTGAAACAATTTTCCAATTCTCAACAACATACAGGATTTATACAATTCAGAGGGCTAACTCTTTAATTATGATGCACCATAAAAATGTATTCAATATGTCTGAGTGTACTTTGATGCAATAACTTTTAAGTGAAACAATCACATAAGTGAAACACTCACATAAGTGAAATAATCACATAATGAATCAACGGAATCCAGACAGTTTTACTGTAAATACCTCCAGCACATATGGATTTAGAATTTAACTTTTGCTTCATAAGAAGCTTCAAAATTAATTTCGTGAGTATAAGAGTTACTACTTAACCTATCACGTGCATTCTAGAAAGGAAAATGGAAATGGTTTATAAAACGTAATAATCAGAAGAAATTTCCTTTGTAGGAAAGATATAATTATCTGTAAGACATACATCTATTCAGTGTTACCTAGCACTTCTTTTACTTACATTTTTATTATTAAGCTATACTGCCAGCTTAGTCACTTAACGATGGTTTTTAAAGTGTTTCTTCCTTTATGCATCATTAAATATTAATGCACTTATAAAGGCATTTGACTAAGAGTTCAGCAGTTCAAGTGCTCCTGTTGCTTCATAGGAAAAAAAAAAGCACACTCTACTCGTATAAAGATTAGAGCCTTGGAAAGATTAGGAGCTGTTTTGACCTGTCTTGTCGAGCTGTTGAATCAATCAACTAGATAAAAATGGATTTGACTTTGGAGGGATAATACTTCAAAATGGAAATACATTATTAGTTCAAACATTGTCTTGTCTTTAATTCAAATCTTGCACCATATTTAGAGAATTCTACAATATCCCTGAGTGTCAGTTTTGCTTCTTGCCAGGAACTCTTGAGTCTGAACTCAGCGTTTTCCAGAGCTTGCTCCATTGATGAACTGAATTTTGTCATTGCAGGCGTTTTGAACAGAACTCAATCAAGGTCATCCCACCAGGAGCTTTCTCGCGGTACAAGAAACTCAAACGAATGTGAGTGAAGAATGTTCTGAACTGGGTGTCATTTTCTAAAAAGAGAATAGACAGAACTCCATAGAAATAGGAGTCAAGCGTTGGGGGACAGAAGCTCTTAATGATCTTACTGCTTCTTAGCAGGGTTTTGTTCTTGTATACCCAGGATCACCATGGGCTGGAGTCAATACAACATTACCTCAAAATGTTTATTGCTAAGCTATTTGAAAGTCCTCTGTTTTGATTTGCATTACTGTAATTGCATTGGAATATTGTACAGTCAATTTTTAGCTGGTTTATTTTCAGAAATCAGGTGTGGCAGAATAATTAATAACTTCTCTAGGGCAAATAGTTAACAACTGAGCGAAAACAATCTTTTTTTATTTTTTTAAGCGTGAGTTGGTCGATGTTGCACGTTTTATGTATGGATTGTTAGACCTCAACAAGCCGGTGAAAGCAGTGCATCGCTTTCACCTGCGCTCGGTGGCGCTGGCATTCTAGCTAATTTAACTGAACCCTTTTTCTGATCTTAGCGATCTGAGCAATAATCAGATCTCGGAACTGGCGGCGGATGCGTTCCAAGGACTGCGCTCCCTGAATTCTCTGTGAGTATTGCCCACATCGTGGTAGGTGCGCACAGCGGTAGCACACATACTTCAGAAACCCGGACTGGACGGAAGACCAGGGCCATTGAGTCAGAGCCCACTCACGGCAGACCCTCCAGTGGTTTTCCGAGGCTGTAAATTGCACAGGAGGAGATTGTCCAGCTTTCTCCTGGGGAGCTGCTGGTGGACTTGAAACATCACCAGGGGTACCACCATGCATCAGGAGTGGGGCACCCACACTGTGCTTTTTGAGTTTAAGCCAAACACACCAATCATTCTATTATGAATAACATGCAGTGTTACTGATTCCCATAGTTTTTAATAGAGGTGTACTAACTGTTACCAAAAGCCAAAAATTTAAAATTATTTTTCATATACATTGTTTTTCATGCTGAATCGTTCCCATTTCCTTTACCCACCCCTCCCTCCACCCACCAAATTGTGTACCCCTAAGATTAACCACCACCACCTCCTCCCATCCTCATCCCTCTTCCCTCCCCCCACCTTGGATCATTATACACATTCTACAGTAATGGTCTTAAACAGTATTTGTCCTTACAGGACTGAATTAGCTCACTTAGCATAATAATCTCCAATCCCTCCCAAGTTAGGTAGTGATTTACAAAACCATCCTACGCTCCTGCTGCTGTGTCGCTCCCAATAAGAGAGATGGAAATCAAAGCCACTATGAGATATCAGCACACTCCAGTAACAGTGGCAAAGTTTATCAGGACAGCAAGTAATACATGTTGGAAAGGATGTAGAGTATATACTGTTAGTGGGATTGTAAAATGGCACACCTACTCTGCAAGGCACTCTGGCATTTCCTCAGATAGCTGAACATAGAAATTCCACTGCTTAGAATACACCCGAGAGATTGAGAACTGAAACACAAAAGGCCAACTTTTAAGGCTTTTAGTTTTACGATTCACAAATTAAGCTCTTTAGATAACAACAGTAAATGTTAACTTTTTCTGGAAGCTTTTGGAGTTTTGGTGTTGTTTTTTTTTTTTAAAAAAAGGAAAAGGGTTATTTTTTAGTCCTGTGGTCGAAGTGGTATTTATAAATTTTGAACTTATGACCTCAGCCTCTAGAGACCCCATTCAGTCCTCTTCAGAATGATGCATGTGGGAAGTCTTGTCTCAAATAGTAGAAGATCACCTGTGATAGGACCACATCTTGATTCCTGATTCATACACTTCTCTGACAGAAGCAGCTTTGCTTCCTCAGAGAACAAAACTAAGGTGGTATGACAGCTTTGTCTCAGTTCTTAAGGACCTCCTGGAAATAGCTGTGTAAATGACAGAGTTTCTAATATAAGCTTATTCAGGTTGTTATCCCTTTAGACTTCGTAAATCTTTCCAGAAGTTCAATGAGGGACGTAACCAAAATGTACTTTTCCAATTTGAAGATAGAAGCTGGCATGGCTTCATTTTTGAGAGCTGAAGCTTAAGGAAACGTTCTTTCAGAGATGAATTTGTACAGAGATTTTTGAAGTTCAGAAACCAATTATCACAGGGGAGAATTCTAGCATCCAAATATGCAGAGACCTAGATAAACAGCAGGAGTTTATCCAACACTGTGTCCTTACATTTTTCAAGGGGAAAGTAAGGTGGAATCATGTCGCTGGGGACCAAAAATAAAGCTACTTTCTCACACTAAGTCATGTTACAATTTATTAACCAATTATAATTAGAAATTTTAAATTAATAATTTTAAATATAGATCAACATGCTTGCTGGATTGGATATAAACCTTTGTGACAGGGACATTCATGACAGTGGTTTTTAGTGTTGCTCTTGTTCGGAGCTTACTCTGACACAGAGCAACCCAATGAACAATAAATCAAAACCTGGTCCTTTTCTGGGCCATCCTTGCTTCACTGAACCGCACTGTTGAAATCACTCTGTCAATCTGTTTCATTGAAGCTATTCTCCTCCTTTGCTGAACCTCCATTTTCTGAGGAAGACGCATTAACAACTTGTGTCATGCAGATGGCACAGCCTTGTTTGCTGAAAGTGAAGAGACCTTGAACGTGTGCTGTGGGAGATCAAGAACTAGAGCATTCTCTATGGATTATATACTTCCCAAATTCAATAAAACAAAGATCCTTATTGTGGGGCCAACAATCAACATCCTGATAGATGGAGAAAGGGTGTAAGTTGTTGGTGATTTCCACTTGCTGGATCTACAATCAACACACTTGGTACCGGTAGTCAGGACATCAGGAGATGTATTGCATTGGGCAAGTCTGTTTTCAGGGACCTCTCCAAATTACTGAGAAGCGACGATGTCAGTTTAAACTCTAAGGTGCACCTGATGCAGGCCATGGTCTTCTCAATCACCTGCTAAATATTACAAAAGTGGACAGTGAATAAGAATGACAGAAGAATCATTTTTGTGGTGGAGAAGAGCTCTAGATATGCCACGGACTGGCGATAGAATAAACAGATATGTCTTGAAGAAGGTGGAGCCAGAATGCTCCCTGGAGGCAAAGATGACGAAGCTACATCTCTCATACTTTGGATATGTTGCTAAGTGAGGTTATTCTTTGGATAAGGACATTGTGCTTGGAAGGATGGAGGGTCAGTGAAGGAGAAGAAGACCTCTGACAAGATGGATTGACATAGTGATGGCAACAGTGGACTGGACTGTGTTAGAGAGGAAGAGGATGGCAAAGGACAGGGAAGGGCTCAGGTCTGTTTTCTATAAGGTCATTATGATGGCAATTAAAGTATGATGCCTTTGTTTAAGGACATTGTTGGTTACTATAGAGAAAGCCTATGCATTAAAAGTACTAAGATTTTTCTGTTTGTGTTGACATTCTGCATCAGCTTGTTATCTCCCCATGAATTATTTAACAACCCAAATTTGCAATAGCCATTCTCTTCATTTAATCACAACATCTGCTTAAGAGAAATGCATTGGACTTGATGAAATCTCAGTTCAAAGTCCAGTATAGAGAACAAAACACAGAACCTTCCTTCCAGGTAAGCACTGATAATCTAGGCGTGTGGGAATATAAAATGTAGTAAATATGTTGATGAACAAAGCTAAGAAGAAAATAAAGACAAAAACCACATCCATCGGAACATCAGTGTGGAGTGAGAGGCAGCTCAAATAGAATGATCAACAAAGGCCTCTCACAGCAAGTGAAAGTGTACAGAGACCCGGTTAGTCTAATTAGAGGAGTGTGCTGCCCAGGTATCTGCAGCCATAAATTCCACACAGAGGGAACAGCTAAATACAGTGATCTCGTGAGGCAGGCATTTGCTGAGTGTTTCAAGAAAGATGAAGAGAAGTCAGTGTGAGTGGAGGTGGAGACTGACCCCGAAATTGGAGAGGTGGAAGGGTGGAATTGTTTGATAAAGACAGGGTCTAAGATCTGACCTTCTGCATGGAAACATGAAATAAACTAGAAAGAGGGGTTCGTGATAAAACAAGAGTCTTGGAGAACTTGATCCAGAGCCAGGTATGAAAATATACTAAAAAGGCTTGACATTGACACTGGAGTAAGGCAACTAACTTCAGAATCCATACAATTGAGCAAATGTCTTTGTTGATATTAAGTTTGAATTTGTACAGGTTTCTCTGAGATCACAAAGTTTCTTGCCATGTCTTTCTGGAATTCTATTAAAACATATAATCGTTATAATATAGCATCTCTATTTTGGTTTCTGATTTGTCTCTACTATCTCCTCAAATATTTTTTAGTGTAATAATTCTAGGATATACTTTTTTAAATTTCTAAGCTAGCTTGATATTTTTTTGTGGGCAGGGCTTTCTATTTAAAAGTCATTTGGGCCCTAAGCCTCTACCTTGGAACCTCATGTGTGAAGCAGTTGTATTCTGGATGGTAGGTTCTCTAGATTTAGTTGAAAGTCAGGTGTAAACTATTGGGTCATTTTAGTTTCCTTAAGAATTGTGTGCAAGCTGATTGGTCACCTAGATTTAGTCAACCATCAAGCTGAGAGCTGAAAACCTCCTTGTTTAAGTAAATCAGGACATGGTGGGTTGACCTTTGTATTTAAAAGTCAGTTGGGCCCCAGAGCCAGCCCTTAGGCATCCTGTTAATTGTATTTGGGAAGAACATTATTCTAAGTGGTATAATACTGATCTGTCAGTTTGCTGTACTGAGATACTTGGGGTTGTTGTGATACTGAACACTTTGCCACTGGTGTGTCAAATGCCATAATGGTTAGCCATGGTGGACAGGGTTTGGTAGAGCTCCCAGATTAAGACAAGCTTGAAAGCAGGATTGGCATGTCTGTCTGATACTTCTCTAAATCTGAACATTCACATAAAGACAGACTAGGAAGGATTGGCCAACCACTTCTGAAATAGCAG